GGGCCTCAAAAAAGGTACTTCCACAATAAACCGATTTCTAAAAAAAAACATGGATAAACCTATAGTGGCTCAAAGAACGTACTGCACTCCAAAATAAACCCGAGACGCAGTAGTGTCGAAGGAAGCAACCCCCTTCGGTGTCCAAGCTTTGAAAGGCTTTGGCCCCTAGTGTTTAGCATGTCTTGAATCCACCGGAGAGAAACAAGAAAAACGACCCAGGGCTTGGAAGTAAGAACTGTGCCATGTGACCTTCGCATTTTATCTCACAGACTTGTGGTGAAGGCGCTCACTGGCCTGCTGGCCAGGATAGGTCTTGGGCGTACACGTACCGCAAGCCTGCCCGGCGGGTTGTTGGAAGGCAGTTCAAGTGTTTCGGGGTTTTGTATTGTTTTGTCAAGATCAACCTCTCATTGTCTTTGCCCGCCACGATACTGCCAAGTTTGACATGTCTATGGAATAAACATTTGAAAAGGGGTTCTGTTAAAAGCGATTTCATATCCCAGCATGTCAGGTCAAAGGGAGTGACACCTACGCCCTTCAGTCGCATCGCTTCGTGCCTGCTTGTTGTAGGCCAGCTGGGGGAGGAAGCGGTCGAAGCTGTGCTTGCAGGTGGGCACACACGTGGGAAACTCCTGACGGAGGTGCGGCCCCGGCGCCCCGGTCCGTCCTCCCGCATCCGAAGCACATCTCATTCACTGTCATTCTAGGGGTTGATTCCTTTTCCATTCTTTTCAACCATCCCTCGTTTCAAAAACCGATCGCTGCTTTTTTCTTGGGTTTTGACGATTTCCTCAAAAGAAGGATTTTTGGAAAGAATGGAACTGGAAGCTACCCCTAGAGTACGGCTCGACCCGAGCCGTCCTCATACCTGCCGACTTGCAGCTGGGCGCACACGGGCCGAGAGCTTGACCTCGACTTTGCGCTCAGCTCCGACGGCTCTGAGCGCGGGTGGACCAGCATTCCGTGCGCCCTCAAAATGACATGGGTAACTTGGCTACTTGTCCCATTTCGTCGTGAAAGACAGCGGTTTCGGTGGGTTTCCCCAATCGTCATCCCATGCAGAGGACCTTTTGATCAACACCATATGGGGTTGTAAAAAAACCCCGTGACAATTTAGCTGTCCCCCAAACGTGTTATCGTTTTTTTTTACTCTTATCGTTTTGCAGGGGTTTGCAAAGTGCATGCTCAAATCAAAGGAAGGCTAGCACAGCGTGCAGTGACTGTAGCTCTGCCAAGAAGCTCAAGCAAGCAAGCGCGAGCAGCAAGCTAACTGGTTTAGTCAGACTCTGCGCTAGAGCTATCACTGTCAGAGCTGGAAGTACCACCCTCATCTTGAGGGGAGGCTTCCCCGCGCAACGCAAGGAGCTGCCGTTGCAGGCGAACCTTGTCGCGGGCTGCCCGGCGCGCCTTGCTCTGTACTCGTTCGTGAAAAGTTTTGACTGGCCGTAGACCATCGGGGGGCGGCCGCGCCTTCTGGCTTTCATGCTTGCGGCACAGCTGGGTGGTGTCTCCAGGGTTCGGCGGCTCAAGTTCCCAGGTCTTCTCTCCTTCCAGGTACGAGCGCTTCCACTCCAAGGGCTCTTCTCTGGTGTGCATCTGGATCTGATACGACATGGCTCCTTCAGCAGGTATTGCGATGTCCGAAAAGACCAAGTTGTGCACCACTGGTTTTTTCGCTCTGCTTGCAGGCTTCAAAGCCATCATGCAATATGTTCGTGTAATCTTGAAGCCAGTAGAGACAAACAAGCGAACTTCAGAAGCGCGATGAGTGCCGAAATCAACCTTCTCGCAAAGCCACCGTGGGCCTTCGGGGTCCAACGCCATTGCCTCATCCGCACCTGCTTTGAAGGCAGTGAGCAAATGGTCCAAGCTATGAATTGGCTTCTTCAACGCGTAGCGTCCAAGCCACCCGTGCATGCCTGTAGTCCCAAAAGCGCCGTCCAGCAAGGACTTGCCGTGCTGTTCGCAAAGGAAATTGACTCGCACGGTCTGCTTCCGCTGGAAGCACACTTGCATCACTCGGTGGTGCAATGACTCCGCGCTCCGAAAATGAGGGCCACAGTCACTGAAGAAATGAAGGCAACCAGCTCGGGACACATTTGCCATTGCGAGCACCTGCTCCAGCATAAGGTTGGAAGCCTCTGCAGTTTGCTCACGGATTTCTGAGATCAGCATCAAATAGGTTTGCCTCATCTTGGCCTCGTCTCCCGGCAGCTGTTCCCACTGAAAAACACAGCACCCGAAGCAGCTGATTGCATACTTCTGCTGGGCGTGCCACATGTCTCCAGTCTCTTGTGGCCCCACTGGCAAGCGTATCTTTTCACGCCAATCAAACACCAAGAGCGAGTCCTCGAGCGGCAAACCTTCAGGAGTCATCAACTTTTTCAAGCACTCCTGCTGGCGCCTTGCTGACAACATGTGCCACAAATAGCTGCGCAGCAAAGACCGATGTCCTCGGAGCAGCACCAGCGCCGGCGCTTCTGTAAATGTGTGCAGCTGTAATCGGTCGCATCCGCTGCGCTCTCGCTCCTCGCGGTACCTGGCGCAGTGAGAATTGATGTACTTGCACGCGGCGTCTGCCTCCTCTCCGCAGTCGGCAAAGTTCGAGGGATTGAAATGGTCAAAATAGTTCGGGTACACACTCTTGAGGTCATTGTGAACTGTTGCCCAGTCTTGGTGAAACCGTGGGACCAAGTGCCGCCAATAGCACTGGCAATGGCTGCACACATCTGTGTCGCGATGGCCTTCGCGAAAATCTGCAAAGTGCTTCTTCAACACCTTGTAGAAACTGGTGCGGCTGAACAGGCTTTGCAATTCCTCATTCTCAGACCACATGCGGGCTGGAGTTGCCAACAGCGACTGGCCAGGCACCACTCGTTCGTCAGCTTGGTCGCCTCTTGGGCGAGCTCGGCCGAAGCTGCCATCTGCATTCTGGTGGACGCTCGCCACCTTGCTGCCAGGTTTGGAATTCCTCTCAAGCACTGCACGCGTGACAGCCAGTGTCGCTGCAGACACCTTGCTAGGTGCTCCGCCTTGCCGGGATCGTTCCCATAGCCGCCGGCTTTCCCCCGTGGCGCCACCTTGGAAACGTTCGCCTTGCAGCGTCCTCCAAGCCCGTCTGCCAATGCAATAGCCGTGCTTCTGCAAGAAACTCCTTGGCCAGGTTCTCTCATTTGACATAACGAAGTCCAAGTCCGCAATGGCGATGCTTTGGAAACCTCGCTGCGTGGCCTCTTCTCTGAGCTTGCCAAGCGTCCGCACGATGACATTATCAACAACGGGCTCGTCGCGTAGGAGTTCTTGCTTCATGCCGGGGAAGGTGGTGTCGACCCGCGCCACAAGCTTCTTCAGCAACTTTGACACCAAGCCTCGCTGCTGCCGACCGTGGTGTAGCACCCGCCGGGCAAGGTCTGCAGCCGCGGAGCATCTCTTGCCAAGCGCTGGCTGAGCTCTCTTTTTTCTGGAAGTGCTTGCTGTCATTTTGCGCTTCCGGGGCGCCGACGCCCGGCTCTCCTCTGGAGCTGGGCTCGCCTTTGGCGCCGGTGCTTCCGCAGCAACAACAGCCTGGTCAACCACTGAGCTTGCGGCAGCCTGCTCGTCGCCCAGCACAGCCAGTAGACCGAGAGCGCTTTTGACCACAATGTTTCCAGAACCCTCCTCCAAATGGTAGTGCTCCTTCAGCGACTTGTTCTTCAGCGCGTTGAAGATCCACCTCTGCTGCTCCTTGGTCAAGTCCGCAAATTTGGCCTTGCCAGGGACCGCGCGCTGCGCCAGCGCCTTCAATCTGGGGCCCACTTGAGGGTGCTGCAGCAATGTCTTTTGGAGCCGCGAAACCGCAGCCGCATCCATAGCTCTGGGGGGGGCGCGCCCAACAAGAGCAACGGCAGACCAGAAAGCTTACCTTCAGTAGCACTAGCTAGCTGCACTTCTGTCCGTTGACACGCTTCCACGCCTCCGTGTAAAACCTGTAGCCAGAGCATAGGCATGTTGGCGATGTGGGCCATGCTGTGGCAAGTCACATTTTGTGACCAAACGTTATCGTTTTCGTTATCGTTCCGGTATCGTTTTGGAACCCCGTTTCGGGATGGCTGCTGTGCTCCAAAGTCACACTTTTGGCACGCTAGGCCTCGAGTCTGACCGCAGAACATGCGTGGACAAACTGCGCGCCTACAACTTGCCCGAGTTCCACTAGAAATAGTCTTCGGGGAGCCGGCGTTGCAAAACAGAGGTCCCAGGCTCGAATCCCCCTGCCGGCTCGGGTTTTCCGCCTCCTTTAGCCAAAAACATAGAAATCCCGGTGCATGGGGGTTTTGGGGCAATCCTCATATACATATGTATGCAACACACACACATATATATATATATATATATATATTTGTGATTTTATATTTATACGAACGAAATGGTGTCCAAACGCTTGCGCCAAAGTACAGTCAAAGTACATGGGCTCCGATCAGGGTACCCTTTCTCAGGTTCGTTTTTTTCAGGGAAGCTAAAAGGAAAACAAGAAATTGGAGACATGCCCTGTTTTGAGACATACCCAATTGCAAGCGCTCTGCCAAAAGCCCGGAGTCCCCCCACCAACTCGGCCGGCCTGGCCCCACGACGCAAATTAAGCTGCCACAAGTGAATGCGAACAGACCCCAGCCATATGAGCAATTCAAAATAAGTGGTTTTCCTTGAGGTGTCCATTTAAAACAGCCACAGAACACAATTACCCTGTCCACTAACATGGACCACCAGAGAGTCCCTTTTAAAGGAAAATAGTCCACTTGCGCCGAGCCACGATTTGTTGGAAAATCTCTTGGTGCCTACTAATGACATCCTCTGAGCTGCCAGTCGGCTAGTGCCCTCCGAACACCTGGTTTATTACTAAGGTGTGTTTTTGGGCTTCGTTGTCCAGAGGCGGGAAAAGGGCCAGTCAACGCTGCGTTCTTTTGCCCGTGTCCCCCGGCGCTTGCTGCAGTTACAAAAACTGCCCCAGAACCTGCTATGCACAATCAACCCAAGCAAGTGCCGCAATTGCAGGTGTCCCCGCTGTAATTGCTGAGCTTTCTGCGCTCCAGAAGGGAACGCGCGCGCCACACTGACAAGGCGCCCGCTTTGCGGTACACCGTGTACGATCGGCATCTCAAGCCAAAATCTTTCGCGGCTCTGACGCAGCAATAGCACAAGCTCCCACGCGGAATGCTAGCCTGGGTGCGCTCAGCTGACCGCACCTCGCCCCACTTCACTTGATGTCGTTGCCCCCCGCACACCTTGCAGTGCTCCGTTGGATTCTTGCTGTACGCCACGCGGCCTGTGTTGCCACCCTCCACATCAGTAGCCAGCTCCAAGATCAGCTGGCGCTGATCATCCGTCAGGGCAGCAGCCGCCTGCCAATCAACCCGATCAAAAATGGTGCTTCGCCGGCGCACGATGGGTCCGCTTCCGGGGCATTAGAACTCATGGTTTGGCGTGGCTGTAAATGGCTTGTAACCAGGGACACAAACCTGAAACAAAGCACGCTGCTCTCTTAAGTGTTTTGCCGCGCCAAGCAAGAGGCGTCTTCCACGCGCGCGCGCGCGCGGACATGACCCGCCTGCAGGGCCTCCTGAAACTCCACTGGCTCTGGCATCTTTGCACGGAAGCGTTTGTACCCCTTTGTCTGCACGGGCGAAGTTTCCACAGCTGCAAACGGTCGCTTTGCGGGCGTGCTCTGAGCAAGAGGCTCTGTCAGCTTGGCAGCAGGTGACTGCAAAGCAGGTGCAGGAGCCTGAGCCGGAGCCGCCGGTGCAGAAGTAAGAAGTGCGGGTGCCTGAGCCACCGGTGCAGAGGTGAGAGGTGCGGGTGCCTGAGCCGCCGGTGCAGAAGTAAGAAGTGCGGGTGCCTGAGCCGCCGGTGCAGAAGTGAGAGGTGCGGGTGCCTGAGCCGCCGGTGCAGAAGTAAGAAGTGCGGGTGCCTGAGCCACCGGTGCAGAAGTGAGAGGTGCGGGTGCCTGAGCCGCCGGTGCAGAAGTAAGAAGTGCGGGTGCCTGAGCCACCGGTGCAGAGGTGAGAGGTGCGGGTGCCTGAGCCGCCGGTGCAGCAGTAAGAAGTGCGGGTGCCTGAGCCGCCGGTGCAGAAGTGAGAGGTGCGGGTGCCTGAGCCGCCGGTGCAGAAGTAAGAAGTGCGGGTGCCTGAGCCACCGGTGCAGAGGTGAGAGGTGCGGGTGCCTGAGCCGCCGCCTCCATGGGTGCCTGAGCCGCCGGTGCAGAAGCCAGAGGTGCGGGTGCCGCCGGCGCTGCAGCTGAACCAGCCGGCGCGTGAGCACACGCCGCTTTCTTCGGCGGTGCCTCCTGAGGACAGGCCCAAGAACACTCTGTGCGGCTGCCAACTACTGGTTTTGGGGAGCTACTAGTCCGTTTTGAAGCGGGGGCCCTAATGTGTCTTTAGAGCCACTGGCGGACCAATGGCCAGTCCTGAAGCTTCCGCATTGTTTTTGAAAGGCACGATGATTCCAGCCAGGCGTTCTGGTAACTCGGCCAAGCAAAACAGATTGGGTCACATGCGAATCCAATCCTCTGAGCCACACTTCTCCCTCATTAACTGCTGACACGTGGCAGGATGCACACATGGTGCGAAGCCCTCGGCCGAAACTCGTTGGTCAACATCTCGCTGTCCTTGGGCGAGATGCAGTCCCAATATGCGACTTACACAAATACACACACACACAAGCATGCCAATGGTGGCACTGATGCTTCCCACCCTGCCGAGAGTCACACTGCGTTGTCCAAACGGCCCACTTTGCGCTCCATACGGCGGGCTTCATTTTGCCCGTACCTTGCAACCAGTATTCAAAATTGATGCCAATTTGGTGACAGTCCTCATTCTGTGCACCAGTGCTGCCAAATCACAGGCTTTGACGTGGCACACGGACGGCACGTCCAATGCCGGAGGCTGGCACACCGACATTACATCCACAGCCGGGGCCATGGCACCCAGCAGGCAAAACAGCACATATAAGCCCAAAGCCACCTCCACAGCAACATCCGACAAGATGGAAAGGTGCACTTCAAACAACCCCATGAAAGCCCTGTTATCGTTTTTTTTACTCTTATCGTTTTGCGGGGTTTTTTAAGCAAGCGCCATTCAGGGGCACGTCCCTTCATAATTAAAAGGCGCGGGGTTATTTTACAATCCCATATGTATATATATATATATATACATAGATATATGGTCCCGTGTTCCGTGTTTCTACCCCCCCTGAGATGGTATGGGTTTGCCAGGACCCCCCCCCCCCCGGCCCGAGACCCCGAGCCCCCAGATCCTGGCACCTACAGTCCCACCCCCACCCCAACCTCCTCAACTCGCACCCCGACACCCCGGCACCCCGGCACCCCCAGGACAAGGCAACCCCCAACCAACCATAAACCAACCCTAAACTATATAACCCTAAACCAACCCTAAGTACACCCTAAACCAAACCCTAAACCAAACCCGAAACCGCAAACCTACCTCTAAACCTAAACCAACCCTAAACCAATCCTAAATCAACATAAACCAACCCTAAACCAACCCTAAACCAACCCTAAACTATCCATAAATATATCCTAAATAAATTTAAATCAATTCTAAACCAACCCTAAACCACCACAACCCAACCACAGGACCACAACCACAGGACCACAACTACAGGGGGGGGGGGGGTATTTGTCTGACCCATGACCATTGGGGGGGGGGGGAGGGACTTTTCGACTGAGGGCCACGCGTCTTGAAGATCTTGGGGGACCCTTGGCTGAGGCACTCACCTGGGAAGTACCGTCCATGCACTGATTCTACGCATGTGGTCCAGCGGTGATGACCGCTGGAGTGAATCAACCGGGCCGGCCTCACATAGTTTGACCAATGGGGTCAAACAAGCTCTGACGCTTGGCCAATCAATCGATGCCCTGGGCGAACTTGGTACCTTCTCAAGCTGTGCGTGGTCTATGAGCTTTTTGACAAGATGGACAGAAGTCACATTAATTATGTTTCCGCGTGGTCCCTCGCGGTCCCTCGTGCCTTGTGCCACATTTCAGAACCCTCTTGTTAAAGCAAAGGCCTGTATATGCTTTTCATATTTTGATCCTCTTCCTCGGCATCTTTGCCCGCCTCCATTGCGACTCTCTGAGGGCTGCCAGCAACAGGGGGTCTCGCCGCTGATGTACGTCGCCTGGCAAGCGCATCCGCCAACAAACGCGAATAAACACCTTTGGGTATCTTCTCGTGTAGGCCGCCTGATACGCCCTTGGCGCTGTGGAAAATCTTGGCTCCCCAAGTCAACAGTTGATCTATGATACTTTTATGAAATCATTCCTGGACCTTCCAACGCATGGGGGCTGTCAGGTCCTAATATGACCTACTCGAGCAGAAATTGTGTGCAAAAACGCCCGCAACACAACGGCCCGCAAAACGAGCAAACACCTGCAAACGAGCGCAAGTTTGAGAAGTGCTCATTTGAAATATCAACATCAAATAAAGAATCGAGCGCAAACTGCATGATTGGCAAGTTGTGTCATCAACATGGTTCGGGCTGGGCGAAGGGACATCTTGCTTGTCTTGTGATGATTGATGTAAGAACAGATTGCACGATTCATTCCTAGCCTATCATGGGATTCGTTCATGCAACTATAAAACTCATCCATTCGCAAGCAATCGATTCAGCTCTTGCTCACCTTGACGCACGAGCTGTTCGCCAGAAACATCATGATACTACGGACTTACAACAGTGGACATAAATACTGGTCAAAATCATTGCTTAGCAGCAACACTTTGCAGGCTTGTGACATGTAGGGAAACTGTAGCGAGGTCTTTCTTTCACCTGTTCAGCAAATCTGTCAAAATCAACTGGGAGCGCAGCACACTTCGCAGAGTCGAAGATGCGTGAGCCTGGACAACGCCAAAGCAACGCCCGTACTTTCGAGGCAAACTCCGATAGGGGGATTCACACAGGTACCGCTTGTACTTGGCCGAACATGAGCGCAGGGCCGTTGCATTTGCGCGACCTTTGAGAGAGAGAGAAAAATACGTCAAAGAGGCAGAAGCTACTAGTAGCAGGAGCTTGTGTGAGTGTGCATGGGTTGCCAGCGACCGTATGGCAAAACGCTATTAGCTGGGATTGACGACCAAACCACGTATGTGTGAGACGCAAGAGTTAAACTCAACCAGCGGAAATAGACCGTGACAATCACTTTGCCAGTAAGACACGTGTTTTTTTTTTTTAGGTGGGTACTCTTTTTGGGGTTGGTTTAAAGAGAAAGTCCCAGGCGACACCCACCATTTTCAGGTTCACCGAAGAAAAAAAAAGACACACCGAATGTGTAGCTGCGCAACCCCCATTTGCACAAACGGCATCTATTGCAACCGGCGATCTTAAAATACCTGCCATGAACGGGGGCATCGCAGGAACGCTGCAGCGGGAAGGGGCTATGGCCATGCAATGATCTTTGGACAAACAAGGAATTGTTCTTTTTAGAGCATCGGCCACTTACCAGGATATCCTCTAAATCAGGGGGACAATTTTAGCTCTCCTCAAGTACCCTGCCCCGCCATTATGGAATCCCTAAGAGGGGCAGGTACAAGGGGGTGGGTAGTTGAGAGCGGTTCGTTAGGGTTCCGTGGGATTCCTTGAAGCCACCCCCCTTGGGCCACCCCCCACCACCCTGAGATCCTGGCATTTCTTCGTTCCTCGACTTGCATCCACAGCGAGGCACCTTGGTGCTTTGCATGCGGCAGTCAGCAGTCACCCGTCCAACTCGCTTGCACGGCTTCGATTAAATCAGGCAGCAAGCCAGGCCTGGCATGACACGATTCAATACCTTTGCAAGCGTAATGCGCTCACGTACGTGCGGTTGCGTGTTTGTTCGTGTGTTTGTTTGTTTGTTTGCTTGCTTGTGTTTGGTGGTTTGTTTGTCTGTTTGTCTTTAGCTCATGGCTACCGTCTGAAAGCAAAACAACAACACAAGTCAAAGGTGCGAATTCACTGGGAATTCCCGGTAGAAAACGCAGCCGCCAGCAGTGAAAGGCTGGCAAAATTTGCTTTTGAGGGGATTCTTCAAGAACCTGTGGAGTTTCCTTGCTTTTCCTTTGAGAATTCTTCCCGCAGCCCTGAGGTCCCCCCCCCCGTGGGTCCCCGGCTTTTTGGGGCCTTCGGGCGCTGATCCAGGCTTCAGCGTGTGATGCGCCATGCATTTTGCGCTGCACCTGGCTGCTTCCTTTTTGAAACAAATGACGAACAATTTGCCCGCCCCTTTCCAAAAAGAAGGTATGTGCACTGCCATGTGAGTCGGTGGGAGGGTACCCAATGGCAAATCTGGTGATAAGGACAGAGTGACAACCAACAACCGATCGGTATTAAAGAATGGTCGACCCAGATTTAAGGAAGGAAACTTAAAGGCGGCCGCAACTATTTCTGGCTGGGACTCCCCCTTACTAACTAGCCTTCACCTACTCAGGCTTTGATTGTGCTCAGTTGCAGAGTTACATCTTGGGAAAGTTGGCTCATCCTGTGCGGAAGCAGACGTCACTCCGAAAGAAGTTGCCTCCATTTAGCCTTGGTGCCAAATATTCAATGCTTCGTCAGCTCAGGGGCCTTGGACAAGTGCTACTTGCCAGCTTGCTGCCTTGCGCATTTGATTGTTGTCTTGCTTCCTTTCTTGCGCGGACAAGGAAATGTGGACTTGCCAAGGCGCCGCAAGCACGGTTGTTCCGCCATCCACGCATGGCGCGGTTGACGGACAAATCCCGCACCACCACTCCCAACTCCATGCCACAACTGAACAAACCTCACACCCGGCTCCCCCTTTTCAATGTTGTTGGCACTCGCACAAGGTGGGGCAGGATTTCGACCATTCCAACACGTTTGAAACCGAGGGCCTGAAAACTTCCAATGCTAAATCGGGAGCACGAGGGGCTTTGCAAACCGTAGTGAAGGCGGTGCAGGATTTCGCCGCTCAAATAACGATTTGACACGCGAGCTTTGACAGCAGACCGTTTTGAGCGTTGGTTAATCATTCATGTTCGGCAGCTATGTACCACCCGAACACTTTAATTCATTGGCATGCGGTACAAACCTGGCGACCCTGGCCGTGAAGAAGCACCATGTTGGCAAAGCAGGACGGACGCTAGGAGATGTGCTGCTTGCTCCCGCGCAGGGCTGGGAAAGGCTGCGTGAAGTTGTAGATGCGCAGGCGGCGGAGAAGCATGGTGTGCTCGGAAGGCTTGCCCTGCATGAGAGCGAGCTGGTTCCCAAGCCTGTTTCTCCTTGCAAGTGACATGGGGGGTGGTGCCGGAGTGCAAGACGTGACCGGCGTAGTTCCTACTGTTCTGTGGACGGTTGAGCCCTCGTACAACAACAGTTGGGTAGGACCACTTTCTTCTTCTCCAGCCCGAGTTGCGGAAACGAGCCTCGCTGGGGAGTAGCCTGCACGTGCTCTGCGCCGAACATGGGCCGCAGAGGCGACAAGAGGAATGACTTGCCCTCGCCGCCAAAGCGGCCCATGAGCACCATGACGGGAACGTCTTCGCTCCGGCCATCGTGAAGAAGACGAAGGACGTAGAAGACGAAAGTCTGCAGGGCGACCCCGTTCCGCAGCAAAGCCCGTTCGGCCTGCGCACGCCATGCCCCGCTGCAGCTGCAAGCCTCTCCTGCAGCAGAGCGAAGGCGCTGAAAGCGCGTCTGCCAATGGACAGCCAAGTAG